TTGAAAAAGCTCTGGAGTCTCAGTGATTTTCCTGCTGGTTGTGGAGCGTGCTGCGGTTCTGCTTGCATCACTCTGTGGTGAACTTTGCACTTTCCTGCCTCTGTCTAACCTCTGTGCTGTGGTGTTCACCACCGACCGCCGTGACTTTCAGTGATGGAAATACATTAATAAATTCTCATGTCCTGTGTGTCTGAATGAATGACTTAAAGGAAAATCCAGATCTAAAGTCAGGATATCTCTACTGTGAGTCTTATGATCCTCTCTGGTGCCATCCTGCTTCAACCCAGATTCAAAGTTCTTACCTGAGACGATCGCACTCAGAATGAGGGAGAAACGCTGCGGCCACATCCTCAGACTGACCAAGAAATGAAGCCGTCAAACAACAAATTCAGGAAGTGTCAAATGTGTCATTTCTAAATTGATCATTTCCTGTTAGTTAGAGAGAAGAATAAATATGTGAGCGAGCCCAGGGCCACCTCAGGGTTTCACACATTTTACTGCCTGTTTCCTTTGTGTTTTCATGTTTGTCAATCAGGACGTTTGCTGGAGTCTGGTGGTCTTCATCAAAGCCTGTCTCTGTGACGAAGCTGCTTTTCACAGTGTGCTTGTCACTGTGATGATTTCTCTGCTCGATTCTTGATTCGTTTGAGTCTGTGGTTCCTGTTTTGACTGAATTTTTGTTCTTATCATATGTTTTATATTCTGTCGTGATATGATTATTGTGTGGTTTGCGGCTCAGTAGCAGGGGAGGGGTGGAGCAGTGGGTTCAGGGTGTAGTGCAGTCAGCTGACTGGCATACGTAAGCCAACGATCCAGGAAGGTAAAGGCCAGCAGTAGTAGGCAATATGTTAATGTTATTACACTTTACCTGCAACATTTTGAGGATGTTTAATTTTCCCACTTTATGTACATAGAAAAAACTCTGTGACATCTTCTAGTGAATTATCCTGAATATAGTCGAATACAAAAGAATAGAATAATCCTTTAATTGTCCCACAAGGGAAATTTGGTTGTATCAGCAGCAAAAACACACATATACAAACAGATCAGAAAAACATTTTTACATATTTACATCATGGACCATAGTTACCAAAGCAGAGTACTGTACAGGTATTAAAATTAGAATACAGGTGAGTGGCAAAGCCAGGCTGTAGTGTGCAAACAGAGCAGGATACTGAAAGATGTTTAAATAGTTGAGAATATTTAGAATGATTAGAAAGGTGCAGATTGTGTGACCGTACCTGTGCATTAAAAAGTAGACCCTAAACAACCAGAGGAGTCTGTTCAGTGACAGGTTGCTTCTCCCGGAGTCAAGGACCAACACACTTCAAAACTCCTTTGTCCCGGAGTCTGGTGACGTAGGCGCAACATTCCCTGTAATGTTTCACGTTTCTGAACACACAAACTCCCCGAGCGGACACTCGGACCACTGTGAGCAGCAGCAGACGTGCACTGTGGTCACGCCAGCATCGAATCATCCAAGTTACATGTTTATTAAAATAATCTAATTACAGCATCTATGTTAGACGACTTTTAATTAACTGCTTTAGCCCACTTACAATGAAATTTAAAAAATAAATCTTGTTCATGACCTGCAGCATGTTAACACTATTGGAAGCAAAAATAACTTCAACTCCAATAAAGCTCTGACTGTAACTGACTGTAAGAGAGTCTGTAACTCTGTCTGCAAATACAGTAAATACTGACCAATGTTGGGCAGTTAATGATACAGTTACTTCTTCAAAAAAGTAACTGAGTTTTTTGCAGCTGTTTACCTGAATATGCAGCCAAGGGTTTTTTTTTAAATAAACATTTCAAACTATTTACAGAACAATCAGCTGTTCTGTTATTTTTTGATTGGTCCACATGGTACATTTTTCCACCAATAGGAAAGACTGGGGGGAGGTTTGTTTTTGCTCACAGGCTTTCGAGCGGTTTCCATATCAAACGCAGTTTTTCCCGTTTCTTCCTGCAGTAAATATAAACAACGACAGTATTCAGGAAGAAAAACAAACATTGCAGATATTTTTATCATAACTCTGGTTTTACGTGGCCGATCAACACAATTTAAAAACTGGTATAAAGTCCACACTTTGTCCGTCAGTTGTTCCGTCTGTCCTGCTCACATCTCCAATGGTTGTACACGTTGTCATTAATGTGGCTTCACTCCACATCAGCCGCTTTGCTAAAACACTGGCACATAAGGACGCTGTCATAGCCTGTCAACCACGTGGATCAGGTGCGTATATACGAGTGTGAATCGCATCATTGGCTGGACTGTGGGATAAGGTGGCATCGTTCTGATCCCACACAGGAGCAGCCAGTCACTGACTCACACTGCAGAACAGGATTGTTAAAGTTTAAGTTTCAAATCAGGTTGGATTTTTTTTGTGCGCAATGCAGATTTTCTGTGCGCAGAGACGTGCCAGCAGTGCGCAATTGTGCACGGGCGCAGCTTAGAGGGAACATTGAGTAGGCGGTCAAGATGGCAGCTTGAATGGGGAAGCTCCATCACAGTGGCAGCTAATTTGCTTTAGATTTAGAACAGTATGCAGGAAATATCGCCTCAGGAGAGCGGGAAGCTTGAAGAGTCTTTGTGAAAGCTCATATTGCCGAGTCACAGACAAAACGTACGCTTCAACAGCAAAATGGCGCTAGCAAGGAACCCTTGGCGAAAGCTAATGATGTACATGTTTGAGAAGGCCCTGGGAGGCCTGGGGGTCCCAGATTTACTGTTTTACCATTATGCTTTCAGTCTGAGACACATGGTTCACTGGCCCTCCCTCCAGAGCGAGCCCCCCCATGGTTTAGTCTGGGGAGTACTTTGTGCTCACCACTCCCTCCGATGCACATTTTAACCACCAAGCTCTGAGCAGATATACAAACCCACCCCTTCTTTCATTCCTGCAGACGGTCTGGAAGAAGGTGGCCTTTTACTGAATTTTAACTCCCACCTTCATACTGAAGCTCTCAGGCTCCCTGGGTCTGTGACCCAGTGTTTTGTTTTCTGTATTGCTACTGAGATTGATTTTTGTCATGATTTATCAGTTCTTGGTTTGGGGGTATTTTAGGGTTGAAGTTCTTAGTCTTCTGATTTCGGTGTTCAAGAGCTGGTCGATTTAGAGACCGTTACTCTCTCCAGGGCCTCTCCAGAGGCTGAGGTTCAGCTCTAGGTGACTCTGGACCCTGGAGACGAAGAAGCCAGTGCAACCTGTTTTTCCTGAGAGCTTTACTGGGCTGTCTCAGCGGGCGGTCCCTGCTGAGAGCTCGGGCGAGTCAACTCAGCCGCCTCTGTCCTCTGCTGGAAGCTGTAGTGAGTTCATTTGGCCAGCTGAGGACTTCATCCTGCTGTAACTGCCTGGGCAGAGCCATCTCTACCAGAGGTCTTCGTACCTGCTGGTCCTGTTTCTGCCTCTGCCGGAGGGTCTGAGTTGCCTTCTGTTCCCACTGGGGGTTCAGGAGAACCGCGCCAGCATCACGCCACGTCAGCTGGGGGTTCTGGTGAGCCCGGCCAGCATCTCCTCGTGTCTGTTGACGGCTCCGGTGAGTCTGTTCAGCCACCAGCTCCCATGCTGCCGTCTGGTCCTGTTCATGCCTCTGTGTTTAAGCCTTGTGTTTGCCTCTGTTAGTTGGTTCGTCTGCGTACCTTCCCCTGTATTTCTGCCGTGTGTCTCTCCATGTTCCAGGTTCCACGTCTCAGGTTTTCAGGTTTCTTGTTGCAGGTTGTTTTGGTCCTTGTATTATTATTTTGTAGCTGTTCCCAGTTTAGGTTTGGTTAGTGCCGTTCCCTGCCATGCTCTGCCTTGGTTTGTATTTTGTTTTCCTTTATTAATAAACTTTGTCGCAGCTACGCTGTCGTCAGTGCTTGCGTTTGGGTCCACATCCTTCATCTCCTGACGATCTGCCTCGCAGATTGTGACAGAGGTCTCCATATGACTCAGTCCAACACTCTGCATTAGTAAGTCTCCATTTTCCTGGAGACTGTGGGTCTAGAGAGGGATACTTGTTCTTGGAGACCTGTATCAGGGAGAATTCTCACGTCCTTTAATGACTTTAAACCACAGATTCAGTTTTGGAGGTATTTGCAGCTACAGCATTTATTGCTCAAAACCTTTGGTTCCCCCTCCACACCACCTCCAACTACTGACCATCTCAGCTACATCAAGAAAGTGTTCGGGGGAGGTCGTGAGGTCTCTAATTAAAAATTTGTTCCCAAAATCAGGGGATGCAGCAGGCATGAGCTTACTGCAGCCTTTATTTCATGTGTTTTTCCTTTCAATTTAATCAGCAGCAGCACTATGTATCTATTTGTGGACGTCCCCATGCCCACATTTAACCTCCATCCACTCTGCCTCCACTAATGGCCCGGGGTGAACAAGGGTTTGGTGGACCAGAGACGGCATGCAGCCCTTGTCCAATCTTGACACCTTACCAGAATGCTGTATGTCCCTCCTGGACCGGGGGAGGGTCCAGAATATTAAACAAATTAAATCTATATGGTTGACATTTTACTCTAAACTGTAAAACTTTGTAATTTTGGTATTTTCACTGTAGAGGATGTGCAAATATTAAGGGTAACCAACTGTTGCAGTGCTGTAGAGGTCCTACAATAACACAGAAAACTGACAAAACATCAACGATCACGTTTCCCAATGAGCAAGCACTTTGGCGACAGTGGGAAGGAAAAACTTCCTTTTAACAGGAAGAAAACTGCAGAACCAGGGAGGGGCGGGGCCATCGGCCACGACCATGTTACTGACCTGATGCCAGTTAGTCCGGTTAGTTACAAAAATGTTCGTCCAGCTGTTTCACTTTAGTACCACTTACCTTTTTTTAAACGTTTCTGCCATCAGTGGGCGTGTTTTTCTTTTAATATGGTAAATGTTCTTAGTTTAAAGATTTGATATGTTTGTTGTCGTTTATAAATGAAGTTCATGAGATTCTAAAAATTAGCGTTCTATTGTTACATTTTACACTGTGCTCCAATCTTTTCAGAACTTGGGTTTCAGAAAAAAACAAACGTTTTCAATTTAAAACATGTCAGCTGTGAGTGTTATTGTTGTGTTTGGATGTGATTGTAGAAACAAAACAACACGAGTCGAGCTTCACATGTTAAAACAGATTTAATGATTTTTAATTGAGTCATTCGCTGACAAGTTTTACAATAAAACTCACCACACTGGTGAGTTTGTGTCGTCTGACCAATCACAGACTGTGTTTGAATGTTTATTTTTTCTGTCTTCATTACAAGTTTTCTCCACAACACTGGAAACAAAATCAATCTCTCCTTAAAACACAGCAGAATAAAGGAATGATGTAATGGTTTGTGCAGTAGCTCAGTAAAAACAATGTGACTGAATATCTTAATTGTGCTTATACATGTCAGGAACTCTGTTGCTGTTTGTGCTGAAGACAAAGCTTAAATGGAAAAGAAGAGAAGACTGGCTTTACAAAGCTGCTGTACTTCTGTGGACAGTAAATCATTAAAAGTCTTCAGGCTCTTGGGAAAAACAGCCGGGCCTCGTCTCACTGGGTTGTTCCTGAGAACAAACACACGTGTTATTCAGACTTCATGCTCAGTATTTTTCAGGACAATGTTTTCTGACTGATGTTTTTCCACACCTGGAGTTCCTCAGATGGTACATGACCCTGAAACGAAATGAAGAGTTCAGCCATTAAAGCCATTATCAGATGACAATATCAATATCATGGTACTGCAGAGCTGAAAGTGACTTTGATGCCTTTTATACTGTACAGTCATATTTTTGGTTTTCATTGGCGCAGATTCAGATCATTTCTTATTTCGTCAGAATAACGAAGGAGCAAAAATGAGACACGTTTAGCCTGACCAAAATAAAGATATCATCTGTCACAGCATGATTATCAAATGATGCGAGCATCAGGAATGTGGAGGTTCTGCTGTTTCCATTAGTAACAGCTCAGGTGAGGAAGACGAGGCAGGTGTGAAACCAGCTGTTACCTTGCTGTGTTGTTTATGTGTGCACACTCAGAGCATTTTTACAGTCTCACCTGGTCGCTCTGTCAGCTGTCAGCTCCTCACTCACCTGCTTCCTCGTTGGTTTCTGGAGCTGAAAGAAAAAAAATCTCATCTGAGGTGGAAACAGCTGCTTTGCTCACAGGATTCGTTTCATTTCCCGTCGAAACAGCAGAGAATCCTCACGGATGGACTCGCTGCCACAGGTCCTCTCAGGTCTGTGCATAAAGGTGACCTGCTCTGCTCGTTCCCACATTCACTGTCTAAAATGATCCTTCTTGGTCTCATGCTGGCCCCTCAGCGTTGTTGTTTCAGATCAATGAATTCTTTATTGATTTCTTTTCACATCCATGAAAAAGCTGAAACTTTAGAAGCTTTGGGACTCACGGGAAGTGGAGTTGGACATGGCGCCGGCTGAATGAACTGTCTGAGGATTTCCTGCTGCGGAGTCTGAGACCTGCTGCTGACAACTGTTTCCTTCACACACAAACAAGATGACAACAATGACTGAAAGACTCCAGCTGCCTCAAACTAAGCTCTGAACAGGCCACAGGTTGTTTTATGTTGCAATATCTGGAGTGACCACTAAGAGAACCTGGCAGCACTGAGTAGAAACAGGAGCTCACTCAGGCAGTAAAAGACGATTCCTGCGATCAGGATCAGGAGAGTGATGACACCACGCACGATCAGAGAGATCTTCAGAGAGTCGCTCTCTTCACTCTCTTCACTCTCTTCACTCTCTTCACTCTGATCCTGAGGCTCTCTGGTTCGATACGTCCTCTCCGTGTGGTTTAGTGCACCCTCCGCCCTGCAGGTGAGCTCCTCCTCCTCCAGGTACGGCACACAGCTGGTCACATGGTACGGGCTGGACTGTGAGGACTCACCCTTGTTCTCTAACATGCGTCTGGAGGCCAACAGCCACGCAATCTTAGGCAGCGGGTTACCTTCAGCTTGACACTGCAGCCTCCGGGGGGCGCTGTCTGAGCCACAGGGCATCTCCACCACAGAGAGGTTCAGGATGTGAGGCTCAGCTGGGAACATGAAGCAGAAAAGTGATCTGATTAAAAATGGTTTTCCATCATGTGACACCTTAAACCAGCCTGGCATGAAACGCTCTCTGCTCCATTCACTCTGTTTCTTCATTGGCTTCCAGCCATGAGCCTGCGGCTACGGCCACACGAATGCGTTTTAGTTTGGAAACATCGTTTTCTCTCCATTTGCCCTCCCGTCCACACTGAGACGCGTTTTCCCCGAAGGAATACGAAGCATTTTGAAAACGGTGCTTTCACGTCGCAGTGTGGACAGCGAAAACGGAGACTTTTGAAAATGATGACGCATGTTAGCCATGTGATGCAGTCATGTGGCCAATTATTAGAACATGCTGTAGGTATTACAGGTACTGTTGTGATGATTTCTCTGCTCGATTCTTGATTCGTTTGAGTCTGTGGTTCCTGTTTTGACTGAATTTTTGTTCTTATCATATGTTTTATATTCTGTCGTGATATGATTATTGTGTGGTTTGCGGCTCAGTAGCAGGGGAGGGGTGGAGCAGTGGGTTCAGGGTGTAGTGCAGTCAGCTGACTGGCATACGTAAGCCAACGATCCAGGAAGGTAAAGGCCAGCAGTAGTAGGCAATATGTTAATGTTATTACACTTTACCTGCAACATTTTGAGGATGTTTAATTTTCCCACTTTATGTACATAGAAAAAACTCTGTGACATCTTCTAGTGAATTACTGAATTAGAATAGAATAGAATAGAATAATCCTTTAATTGTCCCACAAGGGGAAATTTGGTTGTATCAGCAGCAAAAACACACATATACAAACAGAACAGAAACACATTTTTTACATATTTACATCATGGACAATAGTTACCAAAGCAGAGTACTGTACAGTTATTAAAATTAGAGTACAGATAAGTGGCAAACCCAGGTTGTAGTGTGCAAACAGAGCAGGATACTGAAAGATGTTTAAATAGTTAAGAATATTTAGAATAATTAGAAAAGTGCAGATTGTGTGATTGTACCTGTGCATTAAAAAGTAGACCCTAAACAACCAGAGGAGTCTGTTCAGCGACAGGTTGCTTCTCCCGGAGTCAAGGACCAACACACTTCAAAACTCCTTTGTCCCGGAGTCTGGTGACGTAGGCGCAACATTCCCTGTAATGTTTCACGTTTCTGAACACACAAACTCCCCGAGCGGACACTCGGACCACTGTGAGCAGCAGCAGACGTGCACTGTGGTCACGCCAGCATCGAATCATCCAAGTTACATGTTTATTAAAATAATCTAATTACAGCATCTATGTTAGACGACTTTTAATTAACTGCTTTAGCCCACTTACAATGAAATTTAAAAAATAAATCTTGTTCATGACCTGCAGCATGTTAACACTATTGGAAGCAAAAATAACTTCAACTCCAATAAAGCTCTGACTGTAACTGACTGTAAGAGAGTCTGTAACTCTGTCTGCAAATACAGTAAATACTGACCAATGTTGGGCAGTTAATGATACAGTTACTTCTTCAAAAAAGTAACTGAGTTTTTTGCAGCTGTTTACCTAAATGCACCCAATGGGTTTTTTTTTAAATAAACATTTCAAACTATTTACAGAACAATCAGCTGTTCTGTTATTTTTTGATTGGTCCACATGGTACATTTTTCCACCAATAGGAAAGGCTGGGGGTGTTTTTGTTTTTGCTCACAGGCTTTCGAGCGTTTTCCTTATAAAACGCAGTTTTTACCGTTTCTTCCTGCAGTAAATATAAACAACGACAGTATTCAGGAAGAAAACAAACATTGCAGATATTTTATCATAACTCTGGTTTTACGTGGCCGATCAACACAATTTAAAAACTGGTATAAAGTCCACACTTTGTCCGTCAGTTGTTCCGTCTGTCCTGCTCACATCTCCAATGGTTGTACACGTTGTCATTAACGTGGCTTCACTCCACATCAGCCGCTTTGCTAAAACACCGGTGTCGGCACATAAGGACGCTGTCATAGCCTGTCAACCACGTTGATTAGCTGCGTATATACGAATGTGAATCGCATCATTGGCTGGACTGTGGGATAAGGTGGCATCGTTCTGATCCCATACGGGAGCAGCCAGTCACTGACTAACACTGCAGAACAGGATTGTTAAAGTTTAAGTTTCAAATCAGGTTGGATTTTTTTTGTGCGCAATGCAGATTTTCTGTGCGCAGAGACGTGCCAGCAGTGCGCAATTGTGCACGGGCGCAGCTTAGAGGGAACATTGAGTAGGCGGTCAAGATGGCAGCTTGAATGGGGAAGCTCCATCACAGTGGCAGCTAATTTGCTTTAGATTTAGAACAGTATGCAGGAAATATCGCCTCAGGAGAGCGGGAAGCTTGAAGAGTCTTTGTGAAAGCTCATATTGCCGAGTCACAGACAAAACGTACGCTTCAACAGCAAAATGGCGCTAGCAAGGAACCCTTGGCGAAAGCTAATGATGTACATGTTTGAGAAGGCCCTGGGAGGCCTGGGGGTCCCAGATTTACTGTTTTACCATTATGCTTTCAGTCTGAGACACATGGTTCACTGGCCCTCCCTCCAGAGCGAGCCCCCCCATGGTTTAGTCTGGGGAGTACTTTGTGCTCACCACTCCCTCCGATGCACATTTTAACCACCAAGCTCTGAGCAGATATACAAACCCACCCCTTCTTTCATTCCTGCAGACGGTCTGGAAGAAGGTGGCCTTTTACTGAATTTTAACTCCCACCTTCATACTGAAGCTCTCAGGCTCCCTGGGTCTGTGACCCAGTGTTTTGTTTTCTGTATTGCTACTGAGATTGATTTTTGTCATGATTTATCAGTTCTTGGTTTGGGGGTATTTTAGGGTTGAAGTTCTTAGTCTTCTGATTTCGGTGTTCAAGAGCTGGTCGATTTAGAGACCGTTACTCTCTCCAGGGCCTCTCCAGAGGCTGAGGTTCAGCTCTAGGTGACTCTGGACCCTGGAGACGAAGAAGCCAGTGCAACCTGTTTTTCCTGAGAGCTTTACTGGGCTGTCTCAGCGGGCGGTCCCTGCTGAGAGCTCGGGCGAGTCAACTCAGCCGCCTCTGTCCTCTGCTGGAAGCTGTAGTGAGTTCATTTGGCCAGCTGAGGACTTCATCCTGCTGTAACTGCCTGGGCAGAGCCATCTCTACCAGAGGTCTTCGTACCTGCTGGTCCTGTTTCTGCCTCTGCCGGAGGGTCTGAGTTGCCTTCTGTTCCCACTGGGGGTTCAGGAGAACCGCGCCAGCATCACGCCACGTCAGCTGGGGGTTCTGGTGAGCCCGGCCAGCATCTCCTCGTGTCTGTTGACGGCTCCGGTGAGTCTGTTCAGCCACCAGCTCCCATGCTGCCGTCTGGTCCTGTTCATGCCTCTGTGTTTAAGCCTTGTGTTTGCCTCTGTTAGTTGGTTCGTCTGCGTACCTTCCCCTGTATTTCTGCCGTGTGTCTCTCCATGTTCCAGGTTCCACGTCTCAGGTTTTCAGGTTTCTTGTTGCAGGTTGTTTTGGTCCTTGTATTATTATTTTGTAGCTGTTCCCAGTTTAGGTTTGGTTAGTGCCGTTCCCTGCCATGCTCTGCCTTGGTTTGTATTTTGTTTTCCTTTATTAATAAACTTTGTCGCAGCTACGCTGTCGTCAGTGCTTGCGTTTGGGTCCACATCCTTCATCTCCTGACGATCTGCCTCGCAGATTGTGACAGAGGTCTCCATATGACTCAGTCCAACACTCTGCATTAGTAAGTCTCCATTTTCCTGGAGACTGTGGGTCTAGAGAGGGATACTTGTTCTTGGAGACCTGTATCAGGGAGAATTCTCACGTCCTTTAATGACTTTAAACCACAGATTCAGTTTTGGAGGTATTTGCAGCTACAGCATTTATTGCTCAAAACCTTTGGTTCCCCCTCCACACCACCTCCAACTACTGACCATCTCAGCTACATCAAGAAAGTGTTCGGGGGAGGTCGTGAGGTCTCTAATTAAAAATTTGTTCCCAAAATCAGGGGATGCAGCAGGCATGAGCTTACTGCAGCCTTTATTTCATGTGTTTTTCCTTTCAATTTAATCAGCAGCAGCACTATGTATCTATTTGTGGACGTCCCCATGCCCACATTTAACCTCCATCCACTCTGCCTCCACTAATGGCCCGGGGTGAACAAGGGTTTGGTGGACCAGAGACGGCATGCAGCCCTTGTCCAATCTTGACACCTTACCAGAATGCTGTATGTCCCTCCTGGACCGGGGGAGGGTCCAGAATATTAAACAAATTAAATCTATATGGTTGACATTTTACTCTAAACTGTAAAACTTTGTAATTTTGGTATTTTCACTGTAGAGGATGTGCAAATATTAAGGGTAACCAACTGTTGCAGTGCTGTAGAGGTCCTACAATAACACAGAAAACTGACAAAACATCAACGATCACGTTTCCCAATGAGCAAGCACTTTGGCGACAGTGGGAAGGAAAAACTTCCTTTTAACAGGAAGAAAACTGCAGAACCAGGGAGGGGCGGGGCCATCGGCCACGACCATGTTACTGACCTGATGCCAGTTAGTCCGGTTAGTTACAAAAATGTTCGTCCAGCTGTTTCACTTTAGTACCACTTACCTTTTTTTAAACGTTTCTGCCATCAGTGGGCGTGTTTTTCTTTTAATATGGTAAATGTTCTTAGTTTAAAGCTGTTAGTTAGAGAGAAGAATAAATATGTGAGCGAGCCCAGGGCCACCTCAGGGTTTCACACATTTTACTGCCTGTTTCCTTTGTGTTTTCATGTTTGTCAATCAGGACGTTTGCTGGAGTCTGGTGGTCTTCATCAAAGCCTGTCTCTGTGACGAAGCTGCTTTTCACAGTGTGCTTGTCACAGCTGGGGCAGCAGTCGTGTGGTGGAGTTAAATGAGGACCCAAGATGCAGGAAACTGCTAGATGCAGGCGAGCGTTTTATTTACAACGGTGAAATATACAGAGAAATGAGGGTGTCGAGGACTGCACGAAGACACGAACCTAAACTAGGAAAAACG